CTCTCCTTATTTATCTTAATATAGCTAGCTTTAAGACTAACTTAATAAATAACTATTTTAGTAAGCTAGTATATATTAAAGTATAGTATAGTACTCTAATATTTTCTAGATTATAATATAATAGAGAGATAATTTATCTATAAACTATAAGAACTATCTAAGTTATTTATATTAACTATTATAATAATTATTATAATAATTATTATAATAATTATATTTTATTTTCTAGCTTATTAGAAAAAGAAATAAATCTACTTAACTAAATAAAGTATTTCTCTACTATCTTATTAATAGTAATATATCTTTTAATTCTATTTTAAAGTTAACTTTTAAGTTCTTTACTAACTTTATAAACTAAAGATAGATACTACTATCCTCTATAATAATTACTAAAAATCTTAAAACTAAGACTTTAGCTATTTAAATAAAAGTTCTTAATAAGATTATCTTTAGTTTAAAAGTATCTCTAATAATTAATATATAAATAATATTAAGTTAAAAGTATATATTACTTAGTATTATAGCTTATTTTATAGATAAGAATTAAAAACGCTATTATATTTTTTTTAGTATACCTAATATTATAAAAAACTATACTATAGAGAATTTAGTTAGTATAATTATTAATACTCTCTAAAAGCTCTTAATAAAGAATATATTTAAATTTAATTATATTTCTATAAATAATACTTCTAACTTTAAACCTAAGATCCTATCTAAGTTTTATAGGTTTATATTTAATAAAGTATTACTAATAGTTACTTATATTTAATACCTTATTTATATTATTAACTTTATAGTTTAAAAACTATATAACTACCTTAAAGTTATTTATATATTTATAATAAGTAATCTTATATAATATATATTATATACTAATAATAAAGAAATTACTAAAAATATTATATTATTATAATAAACCTTAATAAAGTAATAAACTACTTCTACTTTATAGTATAATAATCTTAAAGATTAGTTAAATAATAAAACTCTTACTAATTAATATCTAGATAGAATATTAAACTTAGAAAGCTAAATTAGAGTAAGAAGTACTTTAATATTTATAGTAATAATTACTAAAATATACTACTCTATTTCTTATTTTCTACTTTTATTATTATTTATCCTCTTTTAGATTTAATACTTTATACTTAAAATTAAAGCTAATTTAATATAATCTATATAGTTCTTAAACTTTTAAAAGAATAATAAAAATAAAAACCTCTAAAAGTATCCTAAACGTCTAATTATTAATATAAAAATATATTAAAACTTAATTATATTAATATTAATCTATACTTTTAAACTTTAAGCTCTAATTAAAGCTTAATTTTAAAATTATATTAATAATTACCTATTTAGGCTAAATAAAACTAAATAGTACTAAATTTAAGTAATTCTTAATATCTCTATATACTTCTTTACTATTATATATATTTTAAGTTAAAACTAAGCTATTAATATTACTTATATAATAATTTTTATAAAGATCTATAATAATTATTTAATAAAATACTTAGAAGTTATTAAAAAGCTTAATAATAATAAGAATTTATTTTAAGTTCTAGCTTTTCTAGAAGTAGTAGAAGTAGTAATTATAAAATTAAAGAAGTACTAATTACTATAAGAGTAGTAGTAGTTTTTTTATATATTCTTAATATTTCTCTCTTTTATATTAATATTAGATATATTAAATAATAATCTAAAATTTTATAATATTTAAGAAGCTTATTCTAGCTTATTAAAAGAGGCTACTAAAGTAAAGTTTACTTAGATCTATATTTAGAATTATTATAAAGATATTCTATAAAACTTAAAAGCTAATTTAAATAATACTTATAAATCTATTTATAATCTAATAGCTTTAATACTCTAAAGCTTTAAGAAATATATATATTATTATACCTCTTATATTATTATAATAACTTATTATAATAATCCTTATTATAATAATCCTTATTATAATAATCTATTATAATAATTAATATAATAATCTTATTATATTTATTATATTAATATATTTCTTTAGAAGTAAATAGAATCTTTATCTTAAAATAGATATAATATTATTTATAATTTCTTAATAAAGTATAAGTATTATATTATTTTTCTTTTTAGAGGTATTACTAAATCTATATAAAGTTTATCTATTAAGTAATTAATTTAAAACTTCTAAAAAAAAGCTAAAAATAAATCTAAAGTATTATAGTCTCTATAATATAGTTTATAACTATCTTTATATTATTTTAAGTTTTATCCTTTTTAAATAAGTATTTAGTTTTAGTTAATATATCTATTATTATATATACTTTAATATAAAATCTAAGATAATTTTCTATTAACTCTTTCTTATAATTTATAATAAATACTAAAATTAGTTTTTATTCTCTTATTTAGAACTTATTATTTTTAAGGACTTTATACTCTATAAACTAAATAAAAACTAAAATATATTAATTTATTAAATATTTAAATATAAAGTTCTTAATATTAAAGATTCCTATATTATTATCTATAAACTTATTATTAAATATACCTAAAATATTATTAATATTTTAAGTAATTATAATAATACTTAAAACTTAATAAAATTAAGGTTTTTAGATTTAAAACTTATTAAACTATTTAGTTAAATTTTAAGTTTTATAAATAAATTAAACTAAGTTTCTTAGATATTATTATTTAGTTTATAAATATTATAGTAAAGTTTATAAATTTATAAAAGTTCTTTATTATTATTAAATTAGAGAAGTAATTAAATAATAAAAAAGTAATTAAATAGCTAAAAAACTATAGAAGAAATAAATTATAATAATTTCTTATTATTAGAAATTAATAATATACTATAATAGTATAATTTATTTCCTATATAGTTTTAATATTTTAATTTAAACTTTAACTTTTCTCTAAACTTCTCTTAATATATTATATTTATAAAATAAACTATTACTTAGAACTTAAATTATAATTTTTACCCTATTTATATACCTAATACTTAGATAAGAAAACTTTACTTATTACCTATACTTACTTAGTACTTACCTAAGTACTCCTCTATACCTATGGACTATATAGGTATATACCTATATAGATATCTATGGATAGTTTAAAGCTTACTTAAGAAGAGAAGCAGAAAGCTGCTGGGGAGCTGGCAGAGTGGATTCGGCGCATGGGTGCCTCAAACCCGCTCCACTGATACAATATAAACCTCATGAAGCTCGTCGATAGCGAGAAAGCTATGACGCTGGAAGAGGCGGACCGGGCCCTCGATGAGGCCAAGGTAAGATTCCCGTCTCTGTCGTTAGAGTTGGATACTGAGCTTCAATTTTTTCAGGTGATCTTCCCTCTCAGTTTTGAGCGTCCGAAGATGACAGCAATCAACGCACATTTTATTCAAGCGATTTCATCCATCTTGACTAGCGAAGACGACGTCGCAATCGGATATAACGAGTTGGGCGATGTGTTCTCCATCCTCGCAACAATAGTGCCGATCGGGACCATGCCATCGAGAAACCACATCCACGAAGCACAAGACTTGCTGCGGCATCTTAGCCCAACTCCAAAGACTTTGAGCGGCAACCCCTCGCCGTCCAGTACCGAGATCGTGTCGCCGGCCCGGGCTTTGGAACACGCCATTGATAAGATCACTCGAATCCTAGCAACTTCGAAGACATCTGTCGAAAAGCTTGCTTCCCGGGTGGCGGTTGCGTCTGGCGGTACTACGAGAATGCCGCCCGCACTGAATGTCGATATCATAGCAGAACTGGCCGATTGCGTGGGCTACGACACTGCGGCAACAAAAGCAGAGCAAGTATATGCCCTAGTGGTATCCTATATCGAGGATTTCAATCAGCTTGTATACGACGACCCGCTCAGAGAGCTCAAGAGCTTCCAGGAGTACGTACTTAAGCAACAATCTAAGGATAAGGCTTAAGGGGGGTAGAAGTTGTGTGGTGTGGGTGAAGCCGGCAGAAATGTGGCTTTGGGCCAATGTTCATTGGTGTGCCCTTGACTTTTCAAGGCAGGCAGGCCTCTGGTGCGGAGCGAGTTACGGGACAGCTGTGTTGAAACGACGATTGGCCGATTCTTCAATTATGCAGGAAGGTTTATCGAGGAAGCTCACTCATCACCCCATGTCGCATAGCTATTGCTGCTCGATAGAGCAATGAAAATAATCAAACTTGTGATGCGACTTGAAAGCAAGGGCTAGTCTCAGAACTGCAGTTCAGCTGTTTGTCATCTCACTCCAAGATGCCAGGCTCACATGCTTGTCCTGTATGAGGCACTGCATTGGCCCGTGGAAGTAATGTCACTCTCAAATAACCAGCAGAGAGGGACACGAGTTTGTATGAACATCTGGGTGTCTGAGAATCTACAGCACTGCGTCGTGGCGTGTATTCCAGAGCTTCCAACTGCTGGGAAATGAAATTATTCAAGCCCGGCAGGTAAGGTAGGCACAGAAGCATGGAGTCAAAATTCGCACCCAATCTCAGGGCCCTGGTGGGACAGACGCCAAGGCAGCATGGATGCCAGGAAGAGATGAGGGCAGAATGTAACAGAACAGAGAAAACTCGTAGGTCAAATGGGAAAAGAAGTGAAAAAAGATAAAGCATTGAGCAGAGGAGGCAGTTCTTAAATCAATCCACTTAATTTTCAGGCAAAGACGCAATGTTCTCCGTCCTACTTACCGTCGCCCATCTTTGTTCCTTCCCCTTTCCACCTGTACCTACGTAATAGGGACCTGCGCCGTTCCTTCTCCTTCATTTCCTCCCTCTAGAGCAGCACGCGCGCATCAACCTTGGATCCCAGCAAAACCGAGTTCACAATCAACACCCCTCAGTACTCCTTGAACAGCGTTCCCTGCATTCTCGTCCATCCTGGATCGCTCTTGCTGCCATATATCAAGAACCGTCAGTGCGACATATTCGCGCCCCGAACCCACCAGCCTTTGGATGCCACGCGTGTCTTGTGTCTGACACGACGGAGCTGTGTATACCGCGATGCCTCCCCGGAGGAAAGAGGCCGTCCTGAAGGACGGCCTTCTGGCAAAACTAGCTGATGCAGCGTTTGACATGAGCAGGGGCAAAAACAACGATTTGGACCTTGTCAACGCATTTGAGAATGTTGCAGCATCTGTTATCAATCGCCGCAAAAAGACCGCGACACATCAACTGACAGCCGCGTTGAGACAAGCGCAGAGGAACACCTCCAGCACCTCTCAGCATCCTCCATCGGGCGAGGAGGTTCTAAACAACCTCAAATCCATACCCATCCGCTTGTACGACAGCTTGACCAAACAAGTCAACAGCTCGATGCTCGGCGATCCCATGGAACTCGACGAAGCGGATCTGGCGTCAATAAGCAGTGTCGATGATTCCTTTGACGAGGTTCCTCCTCAGCGTACATACCTCTTCGATGACGCGAGCGACGAGGATATCGACAGTGAGGAACAGAATCAGAAGGATACCCAAGCCTTTGCCATGACAAGTTTGGTAGCTGTAAGTCATTCTTTCTCACATTGATTTTCAGTCGCTGACTACAAGCAGTTTCGCCTCCACAGATCCATCCCACCTCTTGACCTCCAAGATCTGCCGGCATTCGTCGAAGGGTTTTCGCCGCACTCATGGCAGCTACAAGGTGCCGGAATAGCAAGAGAAATGTGTGAATCGACCTTCCGCGGCGTCTGCATCGCGGATCCTATGGGATACGGGAAGACTCTTACCACCCTTTTGGTCACCATCAGACCAAAAGGCTCGCCCTACAAAGGCCCTGTCTGGATCGTCGCCCCCAAGACTCTCGTCCCGCATTGGGAGGAGCAATTCCAGCACTTCCATGAGGTATGTCAGAGCGACCAAACGTGCAATGAAGTTCACTAACCACAGTTGTGTAGACTGAACGGCCATCTTTGCTCGCCCTCACCGACAAGATGACGACTGTCCGCCAGCTTGCTCAAGCCAGATGGGATTACATCATTATCACCCCGCAGTTTCTGACTTCCAGGTTCGCCGTTTGGCAGGGCGAGGTCCGCCGAGCGCAGCTTGCGTTTTACCGTCAATTTGCACCAGCCATGGAAGCTACGTCGAGAGTCGAGGCCTGCCGCCAAACGAACTGCATTTTCGATAAAGAATGCTGGGACCTCTTCGGGTATAATTTTCCGTATGTGATATTCGACGAGGTCCACGGCTATAAAAACGACCAGGGCATCCAGAATGAAGCCTGTGTTGCCATCGAGGCTAAAGCCAAAATTCTCGTGAGTGGCACCCCTCTAAAGAACAAAGTGACGGACGCCTTCGGCATCCTCAAGATCCTTCCGGGCAATCCCTTCGCCTCGAGGAGCGCATTCCTCCGTGTGCTAGACAAAAACCACGGAAGGAAGGGCCTGCCGAAGCTAGACTTGAGAAAGCTAGCCATGCTACTCGATGCTGTTACGATTTCAAGACCACACGCAGCGCTCAACCTGCCCGAGCTTATTGAGCTCGACGTCGACGCCGACTTGCGAAAGGAAACGGTACTTGAGATCGCCATGTTAGGACATAAGTTCCATCGCCTGGCGGCTATGATGGGGGGGGAGTCGCGCGAGGAGACCCCAAAACTCCGGTCATGGCGCCGCTATGGCGTATGCGACGAGAGCCAGACTCCTCGCAACGTCGCAGCTATTCGACCGACCCAGTTCTTCTCAGAAGAAGGAGATGGAGGCGGTTAGAGAAAGGTTTTACAGATGGTGTCATGAAAACAAGTACGACCCGAACACTATTGCCTTCAACCCCGCGCGCCTTCAGGAGTTTGTGCGTGCTGTGCCGCAAAGAAGTCGCGAAGAGCAAGTTGAAGACCCTGAGTGGCGGCCTGAGACTGGAGACATTGGCGAAGATGAGACCGCCTTCGACCATGATGATGCAAATATCAACAACAACGCCCGCCGCAACACGAACCGCCAATCGTGGCTGGATTACCTCGACGAAAACTGGGAGCAAGAGTCTGAGCGACTAGCTAATGAACAAAGCCCACGACTCCAAGCCGTTATACGCACAGTGAGAGACATCATCACAGCCGAGGGCGGCGTGATGGGGGAAGACGAGCTCGACAGCCCCCTCATCTACCCGGAGAACGTCAAAATCGTTATGTTTTCAGAATGGGTCCATGAGCTCGACGTCGTAGAGAAGGCTCTTGCAGAATTCTTCGATTGGCGTTTTAAAATCATGCGATTTGATGGCACGCGAACACCCGACCAACGGCAGGAGACACGGAGACAGTTTCAGCATCGCGAGGGTAGGATGATTCTCTTAGCTACCGTTGGCGCAGGCGGCCAGGGAATCAGCCTGACCGCTTGCCATCACGTGGTGCTGATCCAGCCTCTGTGGACGATCGCCGAAGAGAGGCAGGCTCTTGCACGCTGCCATCGCCAAGGACAAGAGCATCAAGTACATGTGTGGCGCATTAACTCGCCAAACTCCGTCATGGAGTCACATATCCGAGACAAGGCCGAGGAGAAAGATGAGGAAGTGGAAACGGTTATGGGGTTTCTTACGAGGCCGGATGGGTCGGAACCCATTGTCACATGGACAGCAGATGAAATGGAGAGCATGACACCTCTCTTGGGGATGGCATGAGATCATGGGCATGGGAAAGGGAGCAGTGTGCAGCGGGTTAACGAAAAGGGGGTCAGCGATCGAGTATGATCGCGTCTTTCTTCCGCTCTGGACTTGAACCAAACAACGTGGAATCGAGGACCATAGAATGCGCCAACGAGCGTATAGGAATAGCACTGGCGTGACTACATTTGCATTTTCGTCCACTCACGGGTGGTGCAAGCGGGCAACCAAGTGATGACAGACCGAACTAGGCAGGTACCTTGTACCTTACTAAAAACAGTGGTTTTTCAGGCTTGCAGGTAATGGCAGGCGCGGCGAGCAACTGTGCTTTTATCCAGTCACTCGCCTTCTCCTTTGCCCACAAACCCATCAAAGCTGTCGCATCGCACCCCCACCACAGTACAGGAGCGAGCTGTGAGGTAGCTCTTTCCTAGGTATCTAAAGCAGACTGGATCAGATTGACGGCACAGTAAGCGAGCTCGTCCCACCAAGCTTTACACCAAGCTTCACACCAAGCTTCACACCAAACTTCGCGCAGGCCTGACGGGAACCTGTACGCTACCTGCCCTTTCCGTTGGACTGCAAAGAGAGAGCTCTCGTCGACACCCTCTCCCGAACCTGACATCAACTTTCTTTCGTCAAGGCTTTTCCGCCGTCCTATTCCTAAGTAAAGGGTACCGCCTTTGCTTTCCTTTTCAAACACGTCTGCTCGCCTTGCTGGTATCGAAGAGACATCAGGTATTTACTTCTGCAGCTGGCCCTTTCCTCCTCCCAGATCTTGAAATTCCCTACCTTCTGCCAAGCCGCTCATTTCTAAATCATCAACTGACCAAATAAACCTGCGTCATAGTCAGAATTCCTTCTCAAAGGAAAAGGACCTTCTTCGCTAACCTGCTGTACCATGTCGTCGAACAACCAAGACCGACCGCCCAGCATGTCCGACCAGCAAGTCACAGCTAGTCTGCTGGGCAGCAATGAGGAGGATCTTTTGACGTCACTTTCAGAAGAAGCGTCACAAGCCGGAAATTGCATGATTGGCCATGCGCGAGCTATGACCGAGTTTGAAAAAAGCATGTCTGTCCCTGAACGCGATCACGAGAAAGTCAGTCAATGGGCAAGATCCCTACACGATTGGAACGACGTTGTCAACAAAATCGGCCGGCGGTTCATGCACCCCGAGGTTGAGCCCCTCCTCGAAGAAAAGGATGCTGACGGCAATTTGCTCTGTTCCAAGCCGATGGCTTTCCTTCGAAAGGCCGATTCCATCACCCAAGCCAAGCTGTCGTCGCCCGATGAGGCAGCCAACTTTATCTCCCTTATCAGAACCATTCCATCAACCTCCGACACACAGGGGAAGGAGAGAGTCAAGGGTCTAGAAGAGAACGTCCAATCGCTAGAGGCGGAATTACAAATCAGGACCCAGCAAATTGAGGGAAAGGAGAACGAGAACAAGCTACTCAATGAAAAGATCAAAAAGTTGGAGAAGAAGTTGGAGAAGAAAGAGTCGAAGAGGAACAAGAGAAGGTCCCGCGACAAGGAATTACAATCGCTAGAGGGGAAGGTGTGCGAAATGAGCCAGCAACTCGAGGAGAAACGGGACGAGAACAAGCTGCTGGAAGAGGAAATTCAATCAATGGAGTCGACAAAGACGTCTGAGGAGGTTGGAAAGTTGAAGGGAAGAATCCAGTGGCTGGAAAAGTCGGTCGCGACACTCCATGGAGTCTTGGACGCATATTCAGCCCAGTCAGAGGAGTTCGTTCATCCCCACATCAAGCTCCTTGCTACACCCGAGCCCGGCTGGTCGGCCGTATTTTGCAACGACAGCCTCATCTACCTCCCGTCGCCGACAGCAACAGCGCTTATATACATGCTGCACAATTTTCTCGTTGACAGCAATGTGAAGTGTATCCAACTCAACTCCCTCTTATCGATGGCCGATTTACGCAAGCTGAGGCAGCAAGTGACGGTCATCAAATGCGTCCTCGACGACAACCAAGACCGCACGACAATGACACCAGAACAGAGAGTCACCTTCGAGGATTCTCGAAACAAATGGATTGTCGATGGCAAGTTCAACAAGCAGCGAGGTGAGACGTCGGTGGTTGAGATTGGAGCATGCGTCAAAATCCTGCGTCAGCATATAAAGGTTTCCGAAGACGAGGGGTTGGAGGATCCTTTCTTCCCGATCATCATTGCAGATTACGACGATAAAATCTTAAAGATGCAAGCTGAAACGGAATTCTCAGAGTGCGTCGAGCTCATGGGTCTTAAAGACATCGCTTTCCCCCCCGACCCGACCAAGCGCAAGAGCCCCCCAACCAACCCGCCGCCCAGGAAATCCAAGCGACCTAGCTTCGTCTGAACAGCATTGCTATAAAGGTCATGCCAGAGACCAGCAGATACTGTGGAAGCCACGACGAGCCAGGGTCATGGAGTTTGTGGCTAAGCAGTCACCGCATTTCAGACGGTAATGGGGGTTGAGACTAGGAGGTTCGTGTACATTAGATCCGTGCAGCCTTGTGGCCTCAGTTCGATTCGGAACTGGCGGTGAACACTGGGGATTGTCATAGCAAAGATATAGACATCGAATTGGCCGCGACGCCGTCGAACCCTTCTCTATGTGATTGGTCTATTAGGATGGGCACTTTATCGTGGCATCCTGATTCCCAGGACATGTAGTTACTGCCCAAGGGCCCTCCAAAAATTCCACAGCTGAGAAGTCCACCGTAAAAGTAAGATTTCCCTACATAATTCATGCCTCCTGAGGATAGCCCATCCGCGATGCCCCTTTCTTCCGGTTCCGAGGTCCTTGAGGGCATGCCTTTGACCTGTGATTGTTCCCGAGGCAGTAAGCACAGGCTTTACAGTTCGCCTTGTGGTGGCCCGGGTGCCAGCACTGGCTACAAAGGCCTTTCTTGTCGCAGTTGGAAGCTTTGTGATCGTCGCTGCCGCAGTTCTGGCAAAGCCATGACCTTGGACACTGTCCCACAACATGACCCATGATGTGACAATTTCGGCAGAGGGCAGTGCGGCACTCTGCTCGCACATGGCCTGGGTTTTTGCAGTATTCGCAAGGCTGAAGCAACTCTCCTGGTACTTGGCAATCCGAGGTAGAATGGAGAGGGCTGAGACATCGTCTACAGCAAAGAATACGCGCAACGACGTTGTTCATGCCTGAATCGCCCATGAGGGACTCCAAGTCAGCTTGCCGCAGAGCCCACTCCATGGCTTCATTGAACAGAACCACGTCCCAATAGGCTTGATGCGCGAGACTCTGACGGAGGCTTCTGAGGTAGGCTGCTCCTACCCCATCTTCCTCATTCACCAGGTCCACGATCACACAATCACCTGGTGACATGTATTTCCAGTTATCGGCGTAGGAAACGACAATCATCTCGTGCTCAATCTGATCAACGCAACCGACGTGCAGAAGTCGTCGCAAGACTGACCTGTAAAGAGACACCTGTCCCTGCGAGAAAGCAAGGATCACAATGCGTCTGATGGCGTCTGTAGTCGCTGTCGTTGACGGGCTCTTGGGTTTTCTCCACTCCATGAAATGCTGCAGAATATACGAGATGGCCCACGCGGCATGTGTGGCATTGAATCGGTTTATCGAAATGCCGTTGAGTGGTCCTGAGCCCGGCATACTCACAGTCGCAGGACGGACGCCGGGACTGTGGCGAATTTCTGATAACAAAGGGACGGAGCAAACGTCAGCCGAAACTCCATCCTTCTGCCAAGTAAGAGGAAGAGCTTCTAGCTCCTGGCTGACTTGCTCGACCGCTGCTTGAAACGCACGGCGTGGCTTGTCGTCGGGCAACGCTGCGGCTCCTTGCGTCTTGCAACGCCGTCCATTCTTCTCCCTCGTCATGTGGCCTGTAGTACTCGCTTGCGGTCGTGGGGCCACGTGAACCTCACCGACGCAACATGTCTCCCTCAACAAAGTCGTTTCTCTGGGCGTTTCCTGGCGATAGACTCTTTCCTCGTGATCATGGATACCTGTATTCGAACGTAGATGGTCGGGGACATCATAAGCCATATTGGAATTGACTAGAGGAGCGGGATGGGTCGTGTGCTGGAGAAGAGGCCTGTCGACGAGCAGCATTGGGGAGGAAGCTTCGAAGATGCTGTACGCAACCCCATCATCGCTCAATGTATCGGAATGCAACGCCCATCCATCAGAGGAACTCCACTAGTGTCCTTCATAAGGGGGTGGCTCTGAGCGTGACCGTTGCCTGGCGCCCGGGTCGCGGTATACCTAGCAATAGCAGTAGTTAGTAACAGAATTCTCGGGGCTGAGACCTCTGTAGGCCTGGTCACTTGCCGGCTTCCTGACGTCGATTTTGTAAAAGGTCGAACCTGTGTCTTGGAGGCTCATGTCCTCTGTCTCGGTTGCGTTATGGATATCGGGGTTTGAGAACGAAGAATCCATGCCATACTCGCTTTTCGGATGCCACAAGTCGGTTCGGGTATTCGGGTCCACTATCTCAATCGGTGCTGTGTTCTGCTGGTCATCTCCGGGCAAGACTGAAACAAACGAGCGTCGGTTGGAATGGGAAACTGGAGCGTCGACCTGCCACCAAGGCTCACTTTCGAGGTCGCAATGAAAAAAGTGAGGCCCAGGCATATTCTTCATATCTGCCAATTTTCGAGGGTTGAGCAGATTGGCCGGTAAGGAGTTGCGAGTGACGTGCTGGACGGGGTGATTTTGCGAAGAGCGTGGATGAAATGATCTGAGACTGAAATTGGAAGCCCACCAGGAATGTGAGGGTGCCTTCCAGGTTACCTTATCAGTAAGGCGGGGTGGGTACCTTACCCAACCTGGAAGGTACCGGTACCTAAGAAGATCGGGGCCAAGGTGCTTTCACAGTGTTTCTTTCAGACGGGCACCCGGCTCCGCCCATCCAACGCTTCCATGAATTACTAGTGACCTTAGGGGCTTGCGGAGGGGGCGTCTGGGGCATGCCTAGGAATCTGTCTTATCCACCGGGCCGAACTTCACCAATGTCGTCCATACG